TGACCCCTAAACAGCAATTACTGAGAAACTGTACAGTTCAGGATAACCAAATATACCAGACTAAAACCACAACAAACCTCCAAACACATTCAATTTCAAAGCATCCTTTCAGTGCCTTCAAGTATTTGACACTGCACAAAGGAGCTCTTCACACGGTACAGAAAAGATGCAGAGATTAAAGAAAATTTAACATACTCTCAGATATTGTGCCAAATTCATAAAAACAAAAAGTAATTAGGGTACCCCTTGAAGTAACAGCCGAGATTTTCAAACTTAACAGGAAAACACACAGAAAACAAGTCCTAGATTCACATCACTATTACCGAAGCTGAATTATGAAAATGAGATGCAAACCTAAATGTATGGATGTATTATTAAGGTTCCAGTCATTCCCCACTGTTTTCAGTCATCCCCATCAAGGGAAATGGAATTTAATCAATAACATAGCTGCCAGTACTTAAAAAATTAGTTCAGTTGATTTAGGCAAGATTAAGTGCTGGGGTTTTTTTTTGGCAACTGAAATAGTCTTATTTTAGGGAAAGATCTAATTAGAAAATTCAAGAGTGATAGATGATAAATTTCTTTCAAAGAATATTTGTTATATTCAGATTTTTAAAGTGAATTTTAAATGATGATTAACAATTTTGCACCAAGTTTACAGTCAAAGTCTAAATTTAAGTTTAGATAAACAAACTGTACTTAACCGGGTGGTTCACCAACCAGGTTCACTTATAGTGGGAAAATAATAGGAAAAAAGGAAACTGTTATCTTGCTGTTTGAGGTTCTCTGCTGATACTGTGACTGAGGAGTACAATTCATGTCCATTTTGGTACAATTCATGATGTTCACAAAGCATAACCTGTACTGCAATGAATAAAACTGACTTGAAACTTGACCCCCTGCTCCCAGTATTACTGTACGCACACCCAAAATTGACTTTACAAAAGCAGCAAAACACCCATTCTGTTTGTCTGCTTCAGTTTTTCTAGAAACAAAATACATGTAGGAAAGATTCATTTAACACTTTAGGTGGGAGGGGAAACAGGAGAAAGATTTTTCAGTTCTGGAAGGTTAGAAACATGTTCCATTAATAAGAATTAATTCGAATATTAACGGAAAGCTTAGTGAACAAGGACCCCAGTTCTTATGAAGCAATACTTCCAGCTCAAACTAGGAATGCTTTTCTCATTAAAAAAACCCCTCTCCCATACAAAAAACCAGAAGCTAGTAATACTGCAGTCAGTAGCTTTGAAGCATCAGGTTCAAACTGAAGGTAGCAAGAGGACACTGTATAGTTGGTGCCAACAGAATTAGAATTTAACAAATGAGAATCCAAAAATACCCAATTATATGCCAACAGAATGGAAGTTAAGTTAGAAGCCAAATGATGATCAAAAAGAATCAGAGACATGCCAAAATTGGCCAAATATTCTCTTTTTCTATTTCAATCACTGAGTAGATTTGTATTAAAGAACGAAGCCATCAGCAATATGCTGTTAGAGTAAGTCACCCAGATACAGTTAGGACCAGAGCAGGGCATGTGCTCAGTATGACCACAGTACACAGCAAGAGGGAACAAAAAAGAATAGTCTTCTGGCAACATACTTTACTTGTTTCTGCAGGATAAATGTACAATGCCAGTAAGCTGGAAGAAGCAACTACCTGAGAAAAAGACAGGAGTATTTTTTGGGGTGGAAAGTAATACATACCCATCCTGGTGAAAGTTTAGGCTGAATTTCTTCAAACAAGAAATTAAATTTGCCAGTGTGGCTGAATTATGGATTCTATGAATCCCTAAAATTTGGAAATCTGTGTTACCCTAAATATATACCTAGATTATATATCTAGAATAAGTTCTTGCATATTGTAAGAACTTTTTGCCCTTTGTTTTTTCACTTTTTCTTCTATCTAGCCATTAGAAAGGATTACTTCTTTACCATTTCTATTTATTTTAGGCTTGACAAAATTATAATTCTGGATCCATGCTTTCTTTCCTCTAGTCATTGATGCTGTAAATTAATGTTGCAACTAAGGAAGTACAGGACTGTGCAGAAATAATTTTTGTATTAACAATTACATCTGATCAATGATCTCAATCATTGTAACAGCAGCAAATAAAAGTGACTGTAAATATAATACACAAGATGACTACACAACTTTTAAAACTTTTTAATTGTTAACATGACCCATCAGAAAATGGAGGATTGTGCTAGTCTTACATTTTGGAAAATGGATGCATTAAGTATGAGTAACCTACCCAAGGCCACAAAGGCAAACATTATCAGCCAAGATAAAAACTCAGAAGTTCAGACATCAAGCCCTCTGTGCAGACTATAGCAGTGTCTGTGTAGACTATACACTGTAATAGAGTGATAAATCTCATCCAATATTTGAAAGCCTATGCCAGCAAGGAAGTTCTCCACAGAATTAAAGAATTTATCATGGTCAATCTGTCATTTCAGCTGAGATTTTTCTCTTTTTTGTCCATTGCTGAGCAACATAAACACTTCCAGTGAAGTCCTTAGTGTGATAAACCATGTGGTGCACGTGTGTACACACATTTGAAAAGGACAAAGCAATTCTTATTTCATTCAGTTAATATAATGGAAAAGTTTAAACGCTTCACTGTTTCTTCTTCCAAAGTGGACCTACCATAACTTGTGATTCCTATCATCAGTTTTCTGTTTTTATTTACAGGAAGATCTCTTATTTGTTAGAATCTCTGACAAAAATTATTATTCCTATATCCACTATCCTGAGAATTTCTAATCTGTAAAGATCTATGAGAAATTTAATGACAGGATCAATTTACTACTCTGAAGAAGTTAAAACCAAAAAAAACATCTGGATAGGGTTCAGTGGGGAAGAACAGGACATACTTCTCGTGAATTACACTATACTGACAAAGATTATACTGCAAAGATGATGTGAAATGTAATGAAGGCGTGGGTGAGAGGAAATACAAAAAAACCTTTCGCATGCGCAGAGACAACACTTGGACTCTAATTACCTGCCATTTAAGCAACAAACCAGTCCAGTTCTTTTGAGAGTTTTCCCCATTTCATGCACAACTGAAGAGATCCTAATTTTAATACCATGCGTATTAAACGGTGCCTTTGGAGAACCGAATAACTGAAATCTTAAGCCAAAATATTACATAGGAAAAGGAAAGACCTGCAATGCAAATCTGCAGCTCACAGAGAGGAATCAATTTAGAGGAATGGAAAAAAAAAAAATAAAGGCACAATCCTCTGGTAGGTGTGATAACAATTTGAACAGAGGGCAACAGTGGTCAAGCAATTCCAGGTGTTTTCATGAATATGTATATATTTGTAGTGCATCTGCATCTATTTAATTCAGCTTCTACCTTCTTGGTGCTCTTCAGTAATCAAGTATTTGATTTGTAAGATGCTACATCAGTGCCAGCAGGCACAAAATGGTATGATAAATACACTCCTCACAAAATATAAAACCCACGCTCTTAGCGAAGAAAGCACATCTTCAGCTAAATGGAAATCAATATTTCCCTTTAATATTTTTAAAATAGCTCTGCTCAGCCACCTAAAGAGTCCCAGTTGCCACAAAAAGTCATACAAACTCCAAGCCCCGCTCTGTTTAAGTTTCTGTTCCATAGCTCACATCATGAATGTGAACAGGATTCTTCTTGCTTAACTAGACCATAAGAAATTTCTTTAGCAGACCAAGTGAAAAAACAAATCTGATAATTTTTCCATTTTAGCAATTCATTTGAAATCAGTTCCATTACAGAAGCATCAAGTCATTGGTTCCTGTTTTATCACACGCTTTATAAAGACAGGTTTGTTACAACAGCCTTGAAGGGGACCGGCAGTTAGGTTCCCACTGGTCACATTCTTGGGGAGAAACACCTTGGAAGAACTGTGATTCAACAGGACAGGGCTTTTGCAATTTAGAGCTGGGTGTCCCTCGGGGACTAAAGTCACAGAATTAATGCCAGGTGGCACCACTGATTTCGCAGGGAATAAAATTTTGTTTTGTTCTAGAACAACGTGTTTTACAGAAGAGGTGGAGGCACCAGATAGTGATTCTTTTATCACTTCATTTGGGATCTTGCTATATAGGTAATTGGGGGCATTATTTTCCATTACATCTGACCAGGTCCTGTAGCGAACCTCTGCAGATCCCCAGTAGTGTCTAATAGCAGACTCGGAGCGATGGCCTGTCACTGCCATTATTTCTCTAGGCCCCAGTCCTGCTTCACAGAGTAGCTGAATGGTGGTAGTTCGGAGAGAATGATTGGTGTACCGCTGAGAGAGCCGGGCTGCCATACTTATCCTGGGCATCATGGTACCCAGGTAGTTCACACCCATTGGTTCTCTTTTGTACCAGACAGGCTGCTCTTGCATTTGCTCTGATGTTAGCTTTAAGGGGTGCAGATAGAAGGCAGGGGGTTCTGGAGGCAGCTTGGACAAATAAAGTTCCAGTGAAAAAACAGGACAGTTTGGGTCACCTGGCATATCATACATTTTACCCATTTTATGAGGATCTTCTCCATTTTTTCCTTTGCCAGGATACCTAAACATAGCATAGCGACGCCCATTCTTGTCCTTCTCAACAACAAATGCATCCGGAGCCAGATCTCTCAAAATTTCCCTCCCTCTCTTGGCAAAATGCAACTGCAAATCAAACCACACCTTGTTGACGAGTGCCAGTGGACTGTGCAAACCCAGCACACCAGACTGTTTAATCTTACGCAAGTCCTCAGCAGCTATAGGAGGATGGTGGTGAGTCTCATCCTTCCCCTGCATGCGCAGCATCTTCAGCACGCTCACAAACACCATGTTTGCACTAGCAAACTCTTTGTCCTTCATTAAGCAAATCTGACGATTATAAGGTGGCATTTTGAGATGCCGGTTTAAGCCGGCCCGCATTGACTTGTAGCTTGCCACACTGTAGGTATTTCCATCATGATTTCTTATTGTGTAATAAAACTCTCTTAAGATATCATTAAGTTCACTTACTGGGACCAATTCAAAGCTAGGATCCTTGCCATTTTTGGCCAGCCACTGTTTTAATAGGTTAGCTGCCCAGCCAGTCTGCTTGTGGGTGTTTTTGATGCTCTTAGCATCCTCTTCCTCTTCCTCCAAGCCAAAGAGGACATCCTCAGGGAAGTTAAAATTCGTCTGTGCTGCTTCTACTGCTTCTTTATTTTCTGATGAAGTCTCTTCCTGTTTCAACTGCTTTTCGAAACAATTGATCAAAGTTGTACCATCAAATATGCCACAGGTATACGGCACACAGCGAACTACTTTTTGATCTGAGAGCTGTGAAGCGTGGAGTAATATGTAATATTTTGGATTTAATGTAACAAAAAGCAGGTGGCATTAACTGGATTTTTCAAATGATATGGCATGTCAATTCCATATCTCACTACCCAATTAAAATGTATCAGGTCTTTTTTAACCATGGCATTACACATGCTTTAACTGATTGCATGGAAAGCAAACCTAGAACATACACTACAACAGAAGACTGAAAACTGGAAAACATCCTACGTCCTATTTCCCTCCTCCTTGCTCACCTTCCGTTGCTAAATGCCACATCATACACATTCTGTTTTTCCAAATTTTTTTCTTGGTTTCAGACTCTAACTGAAAAAAAATTCCAGAATATACATCCTATACTGAAAATTAAATCTTAAAATTGTACTTCTGTCATCCATTCTGGTATTGGATTTCCTACGTATCAAGTACTGACAAGTGTTTTAATAGCTATAATCCACAGGTATCTTGTGAAGTTCCAAACAACCATTCTCTATGAAATGCCTTAATAAGAAGGTAGAGTGAGGCACAGTTTATACACTAAAATACCTTTAGGTAGTCTGGCTACCTTTGCCAGACTATTTCTGTGACAGGTGAAAACCAGAATATTGTCCAGTATATTTTCTTCTTGCTTTGAAATACAATTTAGATTTACCTGTACTTTGAAACACTAATGAATTTGTAAATTTTGGCTAGAAGAAATTAATTTTATTCACCTTAATAAAATGACTTCTAACAGCAACGTATAACTATGAGGTGATTTCTGAAATACCTATATATAGAAAGAAAATAATTTATGAGTAATTCTAAATAGTTTAATTTCAACCTTTACATTTCAAAGCAAGTTCAACAAATTTTAGACAAAGAATCCAGAAGTACTACATTTTCTCCTTTATCATGAAGCAGCTATTCCTGAAGAAAGCTTCTTTTCCTTTCTGTTTTCCTATGACATATAGCAATCAAACATTAGAATTCCAATTTTAACTTCTGGATTAGCGCAGAAATGAGAGCACTTTCATAATGTATAAAGTATTTGTAGCTTTAAGTTCAAGCCCTTCAGACAAAGATGGGGCAGGTTTTCTTTGTATATTAGCTCTGTTTTAACAGACAAATTTTTAGTGTGCTCCTAATTTACTAACTTATCTACCTACACAACCCCATCAGAAAACTTCTGAAAAGATTATCAGAAGCTCATGCTCCAAATAATACTCTGAATCAGAAGAAGAAAAATTCAAACGGACAGAAACTAGAAAGGATGGCACAGAAAGAAATTAAAACTGTTTCATTATAAGCAATAAAGGTAAAGAACTTTTCTCCTGTGGATTGTAACTTTAGAATTTTATATAGAAACAATCAACAGCCTACCTGTGTTGTTCCCTCAGCAGTTCGCTTGTTTGCCGAAGTATCTGTTGGTGGCCTGCTTGTCTGGCTGTCTGGGGGGTCAAGAAATTGTTCATTTGCAGTATTTAATCAGTACTAATTACTGCTATCCACTACACAAATTTGGAGACAATATTCAAAACTGTTTGATACTAAACATTCAGTATGTGGCATATCTAACTTTTAGCCCTTATTTTCAATTATAAATATTCAGGTTTGATTAATGTGTTCCCTTCCTTGTAAATTTGACAGTGTATTATAAACATTTTATGAGCAATACTCTTGCCTATCTGAGTACAAAGTATAACTCCAACCTCTCCCCTGTCTGTATGCAAATTGACATGATACTAAACTGAAAAAATATCACAATTATTAAATATTTTTGTGCCAAAAAAACGGACTGAAAAATGGATGGTTAAACAGACTGCAAAATGTATAACTGAGACAATTTGTGCAGGAAGACTGAGTATCTTTACTAGCTCAGTCAAGTATCTAAATGTATCTAAACTTAAGAAGTTGCTTGAACATTTGATGTAAACATTTAAATCCAAATTCTCTCCCTTTTTATTTTAACCAGTGCTGGCCCAAATCAGTGTTTCAATTCTGGTGAGAAAACTATATACACTAAGGCTATATGATCTGCATAAAATGGGATACATTTTTTGGACACACGGGTCCTTCTTTGTGTCATCCGGCACAACCCTTTTTATGTTGTGTTAAATCATTTTTATTTGCTATAGAGCTAGGAGTCAATACAAAACATAAATGTCCAGCTCCATGGAAGACATATTTTAACACAGGTAACTTAGAGATGGGAAAATTAAAAGAAACTAGTTCTGATGTCAAGCTCTGCTTGAGTTCATTTTGACATTATATTGTGCCAATGACGAACTTGCTATAATCCAACTCGCAAATCTTGAAAACCTCTCAGAAAAAAGAAATCAAGGTGTGTAAAACCAAAAGTGCAGAGAAACATCATGGCATGGACAAAGACTGAAAGAAAGTATTTTAAAACAGTTAACCTAGATACCATTATTTGAACATTTATTGTGTTCGGAGACTTTATTTTAAATACTATAAGTGTACTTCTTTGGAACTAGGTTAGTATTCAGTTGTGATTTTTTCTCCCATTTTGTTCACTTTCAAGTGTTGTGCAAATTAAGTTCCTGATTATACTTTCCTCTCAGCATGTCTTTGCTGAGAAAGGCAGTCAAATTATTTTGAGAGACTGTATTAAAAATAAATACCAAGTTGTTAATGGTAGAATAGAGGAGTTTCTGACTTCCTGCTAGGAATTACATAAATCAAGTTTCAAATAAAACAAAGCTTACAAAGCCACACTGCTGACTCTTTCTAAGGAGGGATTATTTTCAACAATGTCTGAAACACATCTACCATACAGATGCTTTTCATCTTGAAAATTTCAACAGAAACGCAAACCGGAAGAATCATCTCTCTAAAACACACTAATAAACAAACTTCCACAGAAGTGCAGTTTTGTGTTTCCCTCTGACAACTGTTTTCCTTTCCCAGTGTTTAAATTCAAGCATAACTTACCAATCTTGGGTGCTACAACGGTGGGTGGTTCAGTAGGTGCTGTATTATTAAATGCAGAGACAGGAATCTTCATCTGTAGGGGCGCTCGACTGCTGGTAGCAGTATAAAGTCCTGAAGTACCCACTGTGGGCAAAGAAGTCCTTGTGGTCTGGGCAACAGGATGTGCAGTAGAAACAGCCTGTACTGCCAACGTTGTGCCTATTGACCCAGCACTGGCTGTAGAGTTCCTTTGAATACCAGGACTGGGCACAGGTGGAATGCTATTTGGTTTAGTTGTGTTAGTTGATGCCAAAGACACTGTAGTTTTGGTAAGGCTACCAACTGTAGATGAGTTTTGTACAGATATAAATTCAACATTGCCTGACTGCTGGTTAGAGACCAAAGTCCCTGTGTGGCCTTGCAGAAGTGGAGGCTGGGATGACACTGCAACAGGGACATGCAAGATTACGGGCAAAGACTGCAATGAGACAGCCACTGATTGAGTGCTTCCAGCGGGCACCTGGTTAGTGCCTACAACCGTAGCTGTGTTAGCTGTGGGAAGAACTGCTGTCGTCAAAGAGCTGGTAGAGGTCACTGGAGTTTGAAGTTTAGGATGTCCACTGACAACTGCTGGATAAGGAGCAAGACTGGAAGCTGGCACTACACACAAAAAAATTAATAAAAAAATTTAAGTATTTGAACCAAGTGGGAAGTTTCACTGCAACGCAACAAATGGAAATGATTTATCATGAGGGCAGTGAGTCACTGGAACTGGTTGTCCAGAGAAGCTGTGAACGCCCTATCATTTAAAGTGTTCAAAGTCAGTCTGAACAGGGCTTTGAGCAACCTGATCCTGTGAAAGATGTCCTGGCCCATGGCAGCGGGTTGGACTAGATGATCTTTAAAGGTCCCTTCTAACCCAAACCATTCTGTAAAAGAGGTGGTGTATGATTAACCTTTTTTGCAAATAAAGGCTATAAATACTGTTTTTCTGTTGTACATTCTGATATGCAATGGCCTAGTTAAAAAACACAGTCAGTACTGTACTGCTTGAAAGAAGTGGCAGGAAAAGATATATAAGGAATTATGACAAACAGGCTTGAAGAAAGCTCCAAGATTTAACTGCTGGGAACATATAAAATACAGCATTTTAAACACTCATTACAGAAATGGTAGAGCAACTGGTCCTTCACAAAACACAAGAAAAACTATGTCAGTTATGACTAATTTGCCTTGTATAGGTAGGACCTTGTATCCAGAAGGTTCTACTGAAACCAAGTATTAATGTGTCAGAGAAAATACTCACTTTTATGCAACGAAATTTCAAGATTAAATCCAAAAATCAGGAGCATAAGCTACTGAAAGCCTATATATGCCTACTATTAGATAATTCTGTGGAAAAGATTCAGCATTCAATATTAAACTATTTTTAAAACCGAGGATGGTGAGACTACAATGAATGTAATTAATGGTGGGTTTGAGTCGACATTCCCTATAAAATTTTAATCTAGAAATTCCATTTTTCAACATGATTCCTTTAAGAAATGGGGTTTATAACTGCCATTTAGTTTCTCACTCAATTTCTGTAGCCATTAGGTAGAGGGGAGGATATTAGCATCCTATTATGACCAAATACAAAACAGGGCCTGAGCCATGTGTTTCACTTCTTGGCAGCTGAAACTCTGCCAGTTTTGCTGTCATACCTAGCGTGGAGTCTCCTGAAGCATCTCATTTATCCTAATCTAATTTTGGCTGGCCAAATCAACACATTTTTTCACATACCTGGTAAGCCCACTGCACAAATATAAACCAGGAATGTGGTAGAGAGTTAAAAATAATGATTTTCATGTCAGAAAAAAAAGAAACAAAATTGGTTTTGCTCTGTTTAGTTAGTTACTTCTTTAATGGAAAGCAATAAAACTTTTAAGAAATGTGTTTACAGTCCATAGGGAGTTTCTTACCTGCACTCACAGGTGCTTGAAAAGTTGCTGGTGTGCTCTCTCCTACGTTCCTCTTTGACTCAAGCATCTGCCTCACTGTGCCAGCATTTCTATGGAATGAAGTTTCAAGTAGCATTTCTCAGTAAGTCATGTCAGGTATATTTATGAACAGTACAATGGTGAAAAAATCCCCTTATTTTAGAGCTATTCTTTCCACTGAGATTTTCTAAACCCATTTTCTGGTCCTCATGGAAATTAACTTTGAATATTCTCCTACTAAAAAAGTGCAGAATTATTTGTACATTTTCAAGTGCTTTCACCAAGTTTGCCTTCCAGTATGAGAATTTTCTCATTCTTGAAACTAAACTTCTAGTTTTATCCATAATTTTTAACCACTAAAACAACAGCCCAATTTACCTAAGAATACATTCAATATTGTCAATTTATGACTTCTGTGAAAGCAAACTGAATTTTACAACTGAAGAGCAACGAAGGAAAAGGAAGAACACTTTAATTAAAAAAAACTCAAAATACTGGGATTATCCATGACATTAGGTATCTGAAGCATCCTACTGTAAATTTTGACATGGTCACAGCGATGTGGTTTGCTTACCGATACGTGGCATTGTTTGTATTTGCAGTGTCAGTTGCTGCTTTCCCTGGAGATGCAGGTGCATTTGCTGAATTCTACACCAAATGAGAGAGAGTGAAAGAAAAGCCATAACAAAACAACTCTAAGTCAGCTTGCAAACTTATGCTTTCATTCTATTTCATATCCACTCACTTCTATGTAAGAGGTTCATTTTCTGAAGCCAACACTGCAGAAGAACTTTACAACTCCCTGAAATCTCCTTGGTCCTACCTGCCTCCCTCTCCTATATCCTCTTTCCTTTTGCCCCTCCACCCCAGAACCAAGGTACTGGGATTCACTCTTATTTACACTGTACTCTTCATACTAAAGTAAATCAGATTCAATTATATACAGTTTAAGGTGTTTTCAAGCTAATAATGGCTAAAGAAGTTTCTGTACAAATCAGAATTACAAACAGATGTTGAAAAACTTCTTTCATATCAGTGTCTTTAACCAAACCAGACAAACGTACTTTGTGAATGTCACTGAACAACCAAATCACATCTTTCTGCATATAAATTTTCTTTATTTTTCAACACAACTCAGAAAAAGAAAACCAAACCACGGCACTATCTAGTTCGTACTTCCTGTCTCTTCTTCCAGTCCTCCTTGGCTGCTCCAAACCGCTTTGTCAATCTAGCAATTTTAGCCTAAATGGGAAGAAGATGAAAACAAACAAAACCATAAATGTCCTCCCCAAGAACCATGAAAGAAATCATACAAACTAAAATATATACAACTAACACATCAAGTCGAAGGCTATCTTCATATGAGGGGAAATTATTTTTCCTTGAAATACAGTACAACTGTATTGTTTCAGAACAGCAGAAAGACACATCTGCGTATCACAATCAAGCTATCTTATAGACAACTTGAATTATTTCCTTCCTATTCACAATTGCACAAACCGAATCCCTCTTTCATATTCACAAGAAACCCTACATATACGAAAGCCTTACATGATGTTATTAATTTGACAGTGTAGTTGATGGCTAAAGACACTGGTACACAAGTATACTGTAAGCATCTTAGCACTCAAAAAGTCAACGTAAAATGTCTCGGGCAGCAAGAGGAAAGAGCTGTGTGGTAGGAAGTGGTCTGGCAAACTCCATATTTCTTTTAACACTAAAACAGCCTTATTGTTTGAAGTTGTTATGACAGAAGCTTTTAATTGTCTTGTCACTTCAAAATTCTTTGATTTTTGTGATGTTCCTCATGTCACCACTATGTATGTATTTTCTATAAAGAATACAAGAAAGCATACTGCATTCACCACTAACTATTTGTTTTCTTGCGGATTGTTTAGTTTCTGGGGAAACAACAGTCAGCAAACTTCTGGTTTCATAGAGGCATTAGATATTTTCATACCTAGCATTTATTTGAAAAATGTCATCTAACAGAACAGCACAGAATGGAAGAAGAGAATGGAAAAGTGGTTCACTAGCAGCTAAAGAATCAGTTTGCCAGAAGGAAGATCTGCTTTGGGGTTTTTTGATGATTAATTGGTTGCATTCCTCTTTCTGAGTTGGAAAATACAGTTTTACAACTCAAAAGGAACATTAGTATTTGCTGCTCCCCCACCCTCTTCTCCCCTTGTGGAGCCAAAATGGCTTCCCTACTGACAACTACAGGAGACTTACTACTAAATATTGAGGAACTTATTTTTGATTTTGACCCCAGTACGCAGCTGAACACACACTCACCTGCAGTTCAGTAAATGCAGTTTTATGCCTCTTGGTACATTCAGCTTTCTCTATTCGGGTTTTCAAGTCTGCCAGAGTCTTGTCAAATATCACACACTGTAAAGTGCTAAGTTTTTCTTCTAACAGTTTCTGGATAACCTGCAAAATTATTATATTAAAAAAATAACAATGCAATTCCAAAATCTGGGAGACCATCTATAAAAATATTCTCAATTCTTAGCAAGTATCCTGCTATAAACAGAACAATGACAACTGTTGTGCCCTGTCAATCAAATAAATCTATAGTCACCAATAAGTGTATGGTTGCATAGCTAAGAAGTTTCTACATCTACTTTGGCAAATACAAATGGTCCCTCTTTGCCATTAATTTAAGAAATTAATTTCATTGCTGTATGATAAGTGCATAAAATCTTACTGAATATAAAAATAACCTTAATAACAGAAGATATTTTCTTAAAGTGCAGTGTTTACACAAAGTTTTCTTCTTACTTTTCTGTTCTTGAGAGGGACACTGGCATTCAAAGAACAGAAACTAAAGACATTTAACAAAACCTTATTTCTGAGATGTATTTTCCCCTAGCAAAAATGCAGTGTTGCTTTTCTTGCAGAAGCTAAAAACAGAAAAAGACTGATTTCCACAAATTTTGATAAACTTATTACTTAAATTTTTTCTCCCTTCTATACCTTTTGCAGCACAAAAAAAATGTCTTGGGAAACAAAAATAAATAAGCAACAAACGTGGTTCAGTTTTTGCCATCCTACATTGATGAAGTTACAACACACTAGCTAACTAATGGAAGAATAGCACAATTTTTTTTCTTCAAGATCATAGGTTCCTTACATAGCAATGGTGCAATCAGCTCTACAGAAATCTGCAAAATGCTATGTCGATTGTGCTTGTTTGGAGACTCTTTAAAGCTAGGCACAAAATAAAGCGCAAAACATATAAGCTTCCCACGCCGAAATAACACCTTTACCAAGATTCTCATACTGGAGTCATACGAGAATTAAGAGTTTAACTATTTTATATATTTCAAATATAACTCCTGCAGCATAGTTTTCAAATGATATTTGGTCTCTTCTTAAAAGTAAGGCAATGTAGGACTTTATACAAAATAAGTCAACTCTTGTTATTTGAATTATATCCAATGCTCAACCACAAAAAAGAGAAAGTGTCTGGGGGTGCAGGGAGTGGTGGGAAAGGACAGCTAATTCAAAGCTGGTAACACAAGTGACAGGTGCGCGTACATTCTTCGCTCTGCACCTCCGTTCTACCTTTTGTAATTTTTGGTCAACATCCTTTCTGGCTGTAATTTTTACTTGGAGTTCTGCCTCATAATCTTCTTCCATGTACCGACGATGTTTAAAATGAACATCATCCATGTCCTCAGATTTGCAACGCTTTCTCTTTAATGCTTCACCTGGAACAATTAGAAACAACTGCTCGTGAGGAACTCTTATAAAAACAGATATCTGCAGAATGCCACAGAACTAATTAGTATATATGCATGTATTCAGGAAGTGTAATGAATATGTAATAGAATTGTGATGAATATGTATTAGTGTCATGAACATAACCTGGTCTGTTAGGTTGCTGGGTGTGCATGCTTTATGGAGCTATTCTCATGCACCCAGCGTGCTGAATAAAGTAGTATCAGCTTTCTAACCTAGCAACTGGTTGGAGAGTTTATTTCATGGTTTGCAGTGACAAGCCTGATAGAAGGCTATGGTGAGACAACTAGCTTGGTGGATGAGGGGAGAGGAATGAGTGCTGTTTATCTTGAGTAATGTTTTTGACACCCAAAACATCCTCAGAGACAAATTCATGATGTATGGCCTAGATAATTGGACTGGCACAACCGAGGGGCTCCAAGAGCTGGGATTAGTGGCACATAGTCCAGCTGGAGCTCCTCACTAGTTAAGTACACCAGCAGATGCTACTGGTACCAACACTAACATCTTCATTTATGACCTAGACAATGGGATAACAGGACAATTTGCAAATGATGCAAGACTGGTAGGAGCGATTGGTACACTAAATGGTTATCACGCCATTCAGTCACACTGACAAATTGGAGAAACGGGCAAACAAGAATCTCATGAATTTTAACAAAAGGAAATGCAAAGTACTGCACTTGGGTAGGGATAAACACATGTACTAGTACAGGCTGGGAACTCGCTGGAAAACAGCTCTGAAGAAAAGGCCCGGCTGCTCTTCATGCACATGAAGTTGAACATGGGCCAGAAATGTGCACTGTTGGCAAAGAAGGCCAACAATATCCTTGGCTGCCTGATGATGAGTATTGCCAGCAGGTTGAGGGAGGCAATTATTCCCCTCTAATCGGGACATGTGAGACTGAACTTTGAGTCTTATGTCCAGTTCTGGGCTTCTAAATACAAGAAAGATGCAAAAATACTGGAGAGAGTGCAGTGTAGATTTACCAAGGTGTTTTACAGACTGAAGCATCCATCATGAGCTGGAATTGTTTAACTGGAAAAGGCCATTAGGGGAGAGTGAACAAGACAGAGCAAGTCTCTTAATGAGTACTAGTGACAGGACAAGAGAAATGGATGTAAACTGAAATACAGGAAATTCCACTCAGACATATAAAAACTTTTTTACTGTGAGGGTGGTCAAACACTGGAAGCAGAACACTGGAAGGCTGTGGAATCCCCACGTGGGGAGATAGTCAAAACCTCTCTCTGGACATGGTTCTGAGTAAACTGCTCTAGTTGACCAGGTTTTAAATAGGGGCATTGGACTATATAATCACTGAAAGTCCCCTCCAACCTCAATGATTCTGTGCTTCTAATACAAACCACCAAGTGAAGCATAATAGTTTCATTACATACTTTTCTCTGTTTGTTTCTCTTCTTTGTGGGCCTCTTCTCCTTCTTTATTCTCCTCACTCTCATTTCTTCTCTCCTCCTTCACTTCTTCTATAAACAGAAGAAAGAACTCTATGTGTTACTTAGATGTCCAAAAGTCTTATAATCGTCCTAGTTTGACTAGCAAATTTAGAATACTTATTAAAGACCATGTCAGGGAGGGGAAATAAGAATGATAGAAAGGGAATGCAGATATGAAAAAATAAGAGAATACCCTCAAAACAAAAATTTGAACTATCATCTAACACAGTAAGATTCACTTCTGAATCTGCTTAGCAATAAAATCAGAATAACTGAACTATAATAACTGAGGTAACATAATGTTTCAGTTACCTCTGAAATGAAAAGAATGTATTTTTAAACTTAGCTAAAGTTGTCAACAAACTATTTTAGCTTATTTTTCTGCATAGGGAAAATGTATAAAAATTTCAGTAACAAATTACTAATATATTTCTCTATTTACAATTGGCAAATTCAGCCATAATCTTTATGGTAGAAAAGGCCTAGATTCTTCTTTGGTTAACAAATATGAATTTTCATTTAAAGTTTCTCGCTAATACAAATCTTGATAATACAATATCACAATAGAGGACCAGTCATTTAAAATTATACATTTTAGGAAATGCTTAAATAAAGAAAAATCTGAATCCCCAAACACACAGAGGTTAAAATGAAAAATGCTAATGTTTCCTGAAAAACTTTATTATCTGTTCCATTACATTCCATTATGTGTTTCATATAGGCCGTATTTGCTACCTCCTACACTGGCTAGATATAACCTATAACTATTGCTTTTGAGATTACATTAAAATCTATCCAGAGCAACTCAGCACTGTGCTACTGTACACTTCTTCAATTTCCTGTATTTGTTTTGTCATTCACAGCATTTACTACCTTTTCTAGGGAAAGTTCTAGCTGCAAAGGTATGCTTGATGCTCTCTTAAAATTAAATTTTACTTCTATTATGAAGAACATTTGAATGATTTAAAATAAGTCACCTAGTAAATCAGAAAAAGGAAGGAGTCAGAAAATAAAAATCTGAAATTATGACAATTTTTATTTTGTTAATTCATACAAGAAATAATATTCAGAAGATAAATTCTGCAAAGCAAATCTGATTTACTTTTAAGGTAATAAAAATGGTATAGTGCCTATGCCACCTGCTTTTAAGACTTACAGATAAGCTTCATGTGTTTAAGTGTTATGACTAAATAGGACTAATTTACCTAAGAATCTAAAGGAGAGTCATTAAGTTCAAGAGAACATTTCCCACAATTCACAGATTTTAATATTCAGTTGAAAGACACAAATATTCCATGGAAAGATACACACACCTGGAATGTCTTTAACGTAAGTTAAAAGCTTCAAAGTTAAGTTTTTTTCAGTTCTGTGTAAAGGACAAGTAATGTCAGGGAGGAGGAAGTCCTTCCTTTACAAATTTCCATCACTGTGAAGAAATTTAGCTCATTTAACTAAAAGTGGTTTAAACACAATGCCCAGCTAAACCTCTCTAGTTAAGGAGGAGAAAATTTTACAACTGACTATCAGCTTATTTTTCACTGATAATTTGTGATCTTGTTATCCTGACACTAGACAGGCAGAAGCTACGAATGCAACCCTTTAAAAAAACTGATTATATCATCAAGTTATCAGTGTATTTATCACAATCACAGTTGTCTTAAGTCACACTATTTGCTGTGCATCTCAACACAAAGGTACAAAGGTGTTTTGGGGTTTTTTAAATTTTTTTTGACTGAGTGTTTGTCTGTTACTAAACAATTGAAAATACCTTGTGATAATTTTACAGCTACAAGCTTTTATATCTGCTTAGTGACTGGCTGGTTGACTATTTGGATGTCAGTTCTGCTAAAATACATATATAAATGGAAATAAGAATAATCTGTAAGCCTAAGAGCATTTGAACAGTATTTGAAAGTTACTCTGGACTGCACAGTCATACTCATTATTTCACAATCTTGTGACTGCAACACTGTCCTTATAGACTGGCTAGAAATGAGGTGCATAGACAGCAATGACAAGAAGAACAAAAGCGCAGTCTTTCTAAGTAGTGAATCCCTGACCAAACTCTACACCAAAGTTATTATAATAACAGAAATACAGATTTTCCCCATAAAGCATGACAGAATTTGACTATTTTTGTTTTGGAAAAAAATCATAGATTTATGTACCTTCGACGGAATCATCAGGACTTAGACATGCTGGAGAAATGGGATGACAAACACTTTACGATACTCAACAAGGACAAATACAGAAATCCTGCACCTGGGAAGGGAGAACCCCTGCAATGACACAGGCTTGGGCCACACAGCTGGAGAGCGGCCCTCCTTTGAGGGCTCACACAGAGAGCAAGCAAAGCATGAGCAAAGAGCGTGCCCTGGCAGCAGAGGATGTCCAGAACTCCCTGAGCTGGCTTACAGGAACAGAGCCAGTGTATCATAGCAAGTAGTTATTGCTCTTTATTGGCAGCCTTATGCCATCTGTCAGTAAGGAGCAAGGGACTGCTTAGGGGCTGGGGACCTAAGAGAGGCTTTTGCAGCACGGAGAAAACAAATCTTAACAGGAACTTAAAAACTGCTTTCAGTGTCTGTTAGGTGGCTTTTAAGAAGATGGAGCCAGACTTATTGTAGAGGTGCATAGCAAAGAATAAGAGATAACACATGTAAGCAGAAATCAGAGATTCCAACCAATAGAAAGAAAAATGAACACATGAAGGAAGCCAGGTTGCCCAGAGTGGTCATCCAGTCTTATCAACTGAAGTTTTCAACACCAAACTAGATAAAGGTCTGAGCTACCTTGCCTATTTGAGAGTTGACCCTACTTCGAAAAGGAGACTGGACCTCTTTAGATCCTCTTGCATATCATAAAATATATAAAAAAAATAAATCAAGTGAATCGAATGCAAAGCAAAATATCCTTGTTTTATTTATTAATACATTTTAGTTGGGAAAAAATATCCATAAAGGACTGAAAGATTACAACTGAGCAAACCAATATCCATTAATGGGTCCTTCAAAGTCTGTCAGACAGAAGTCTGCCTGATTTCCGGTTTGCAAAATCCAGTGGATCAAAAATGTTGCACTATGTCTTTGTCTGCTGCATTAAAGAAACCTTTTTCTACCAATAGATTCAGCTACCATTTGCTGATTTAAAGACCTCCTTAATATTCCTTTGGATGAACAAAATCTATGTTCTTTTAAGGTTTCCAGTATGAAGTTGTTTCCAAATGCTGAAATACTTTTTGCAGCAACTCTCCGAAAGTCTTCCAATATCTTTTTTTGAAGTAAAAAACAAAAATAGAAATATTATTGCAGAAGAATGGTTTCATTGGCGCTACTTAAGTGGAACTTACTTTCCTATTAGTGAATTCAAGAATTTGGACAGCTAGTTCTATCACAACATAGAAACAAAAGTTCATGCTTAGCTGTTTATCTGCCACTAACATGTTCTAAAATTCTCTTTTCAGAAGACAGGCTGTACTCTTTTAACTGTTAACTGCAGGTTTTTTTCTTAAAAGGTTGTATAGAAAAGCCTAGAATCTAGGTGTCTAGAATGCACTTGAAGTGCTAGAAATTCTGAGAAAGACAGACTTCAGATTTGCTCTGGCGGAGATACTTGCTTGGTCCAACTTGACAGTGTACAGATTAGATAAGAGACAGAACATAGCAACAGCTCCACAAGGCAAAAACAACAGTTCATCCAATCCAGGATCCTACTTCTAACACTTTCATGTCAACAGTAGCTATCAAGTAGGGAGGAGTATAAGGAGGAGAAAAGAACAGTTACATACAGTCCTAGAAAACTTCCTCAGCTTTCTGAAAAATTGCTGGTGAAAGACCTCCAGAGCCTTAGGGTTTCTGTCCTTGATAGACTTCAAGAAAATTCCTCTTCCACAGAAGACAAATGTAGGTAAACTTCTACCAGTCATTGAACTCCATATTTCTCCACATGGAAAATCACCTCTTCTTTCATGCCTTGATCCTGCCTCTCACTTTTTTCCTTTCCTCCATTTGATACATATGGTTCTTAGGGAGGAAAAGACAGGAAGTATCTAGACTCCATACCACTTGCTGTTTTCCACATCTTTGTCATATCTCTACTCCAACTTTTTTACAGGCTAAAAGACTCTACCATAAAATACATTTCATCTTTGTCTAAAAGTTCTCTTTCTGATATGAGTCAGGAAGTGAAGAAGCTGTAGGAGGAAACAACCTGACAATGTATAACAGACAAAGAGGGGATAAAGTACAACTCTGCACACAGAAAACCTCAAGCCTCACACAGTGCAAGGACACAGGAACAGCTAAAGGCCACACTCAAAATAATAATAAATGGAGATTTTAAAAACTGAGGAATAAGAAGCCCATGACTTCCAACAACAGAATGAAGACTCCCTCTCCACCTGCAAATCTGAAGTTATTGAATGGGTATAGCACTGATGGAACATTATGAGGAAAATCCTCTATTAACAGAGGCATCAAAGCCAGGTGGATATATGGAAGTCCACGGGGACATATGAGATGTACCCAACAGTGCTGAGGGAGGTAGGCTGCTGGCACTGTGAGGCCCCTCTCCATCATCTTCATGGTAACCAAGGGAAGTTTGGGCAACCAAGAGAAATGTCACTGCCACGTTCAAGACAAGTCAAGGAGGATAGTTTAGAAAAACTATAGGCTGGTTGGCCTCACTTGACATCTTGGGGACGTTATAAAAAAAGACCTCAGCAGAAGCCATTATCAAGCACACAAAGGAAAGGAAGGTGAATGGGAATATTCAGCTTGGATTTAGCAAGGGCAAACCATGCCTGGCAGATCTGGTAGGTTTTTTACAATGGGCTCAAAGAATTGGCATCAGAGATATATAATCAAGCAGGTGGTTTAGCACTAGAGACAGTCTTCAGGGATCTGTACTGGACTGATGCCGTGCACTGTATTTACTAATAGCCCGGACCTGCGGATAGATCACACTTTGCGAGTTCATAGATACAAACTGGGGGGGAGTGGTAAGTTTTCTGCAGGGCATAGCTGCTATTCAGAGACAAACTGGCAGGCTGAAAAAGTGGACCAGGCACATGTGCAAATGCAGCCCTGCATTTGGGATAGAATAACCCTATGCAACAGGACAGTCTGGGGGTTGACTGGCTAGAACATATCATCTTTGTAGAATAGGGTCTTGGTTCATGGTGGAAAGCAAGCTGAATGTGGAGGATTGTGGACCAGGGCAGAACTTAAAAGGGTAAACAAAGCAGTGGACATTGCCAGAACGGAAGAGAACGTGGCACAAGGTGGGAGGAAGTGTCTACGATGTGCGTGGAGCCAAAGGTCGAAAGACCCAGAACAAGAACATGATTGAAGAAAAGAAGAGTGTTGAAAGCTGATAGGTGCAAAGATGGACATTATTTGTAAATAGGTAGAAATATGCATACTGTAATTTTATAGGGCCAAGTATTGCTTGTTGATAGGTTGAAGATGCTTAGCTCACAGACCAGCAACAAAACTAGTTCCTCTATAAATAGAGGCTTTAAATAAATAAATGATTATCTGGTGACCAGCAGGGGTGTCTGTGCCACAATTGCTACAGCTGAACACTAATCAGCAGCATGGAGTAAGTTCAATAGCATTTCAGGCCATATTAACAAGAAATGTGTCTAGCAGAATGAGGGAAGTGATTATCTTTTATTGAGCACTCAAGAAACCCTCAGAGTGCTCTTCCTCCTCCCATCCAGAGCACACTATGTCCAGATTTTGGAGCCCCAATCCTAAAAAGGCACTGACAAAACCACAGCAAGTCCAGCAGAGGGTCACCAGAACGGTTAAGGGAAGGAAAAACATGGTATGTGAGGAACTGCTTTGCTCAGCCTCAATGAGTGAACACTAATTGGAGATTGTATCACTGCCTTCCATTACATAAAGGCAGGACAGAGAGAAGACAGAACCACTACTCTTTGAAGTGCACACTAACAGAACTGGAAGCAGTGGACACAAGCTGGAACACAGAAGATTCCAATTTAGAAAATTTTTCACTGTTAAAGTTGGTTAAATATTAGGCCACCCAGGAAGAAGTTATGGTTTATCCACCCGTGGAGAAGCACAAAAGTAAACTGCCAAGGTCCCTGAGCCATGTGATATAACTGGACTTGCTTTGAGTAGGAGGTTGAAATAAAGACCATCAGAGGGTTAAATTAAAATTACTCCATGATCTTCCCTGTTGCTTTTTCATGTACCTTTTCCAATTCTGTGCTATCTTCTTTGACATGGGGAGTGGGAGGAAAGAGAATTAACAAAAACATTTAAGACCTTGGTGTCTCATGGTAAAGTTTTCCTCAGCTTCTTAATTTGTTCCCAGCATTCTTTACTTGCTTTCTTCAACTGCTACTCTATCAATATTTCCTCAAAGCTGCCTTCTATAATTCTGGAAAATTTTTAAGTGGTGAGTCAGTTCTACTTTCCTATCAATTTATGAACATTTTTGTACTCATGAGACCCATTTTGTAGATAACCACAATGAGTTTCATCTGCCATATTTATCCCTCAGTCATTCAGCACTGTAAAAATTCTTCTCCAGTCCTTCACAATATAATCAGCAAACTGTCACCTCACTACTTACTGTTCATTTTAGGCAAATTATTAATTCTGTCACGCAGTGCAGTCTCTGGAACAGATAACTGCAGTTTTATTTTTCATTCTTCGACTGATTATTTCCTCCATGAAGACTTTCTATCTTACATGAAGACAATTTAATTTCCAAAAGTTCTTGGTAAGAAATCAGTTGTGCTTGGATATCCAAGTGAATTCAAATACATCAATCAGGTCTTCCTTATCATGTGCTTGTTTGCTTATCCAAAGGGCTCCAAGGTTTTCTAACGTATGATCTTTTGTTACAAAAATATGTGACAACATAGCTATTGTATTTACTAATTCCACCTGAGAAAAAGGTTCTCTTAATCTGTCCATTTGAATAAAATCTAGTATCATTCTTCCATTGTTGTTTAGCCATGCTGGTTTTCATTTGGACTTCTCGATATCTTACTTCTTAACTGAACAGTTTGCACCTGTGCCTCCAATAGAGCATCTTGGAATGATCTTCGTGTGGTCTCCACAGTTTTAATTTTCACAGACTCTTTCCAGAAGTTATTTTTTATCTTCTAAGATAACTCTACCTGATTTCTCATGTAATTGTTTCCTGCCCATGCAACCTCTCTACTATTATCTTTGTTATTGCTTCTGGACAGTGACCAATTTTCATTTTATGAACAGTCTCAATTACTGCCATGCAACTGTAAAAGCCAAATTGTTATAGCTAATAAATAAAATAACTAGTCAAAAGAATTTATTTTGTCACTAAAGTCAAAAATCTGCAAAAATACCAATTCAAACTTCTGCAAACAGCAGTCTAGTATTTAATATTAACTTCAGCCATTTTGCTCAGAGTAAAGTCTTCTGTGACCACTGCGTTTTTTCGTTGGGTAAGATGGAAAAAGCAACCCTAATGTCTCCAATAACAGAACACTTAAACTGCAGTGAGAACAAGGGTAATCAATTAATTTGTAATATTCACTTTATAAAAGGGACTTGTAACACACTATAATTTTAGACACAAGTACACACATTCTTTCTCCCTGCCTCCTCCACCTCCAGTAGTTTCTGGAAGACTTTAACTGCACAACAATGGTATCACTTTTGCAATCTCAGTGCAATCTCAGTGCAACAATTAACACTTGAATAAGATCCTTAGAAAAAAAACTATGGAATCTACCTTATCTCTGTTTAACTAGCACAAATTCAAAGGTAAATACCAGAAAAGGAGGAGTCTGAAATACGGCTGAAGAGACATTCTTACCTCCATTTCTCTAGCTGTTTAGAGACTGAAGACTCAGAATGCCATCCTCACATTAGTGAAAGACAGTCTCATCAACAGTGAAACAAGACTTGATAAACTGTGGTTACTAACTTCCTGACTGAAAAACACCTGAATCTTGTTTAAGCTATGGAATTTCTACCCAGTCAAGTATATTTAAAACCACTTGGGTTAGCATGGTCATCATTTCATAAAACAATATGGGGGGGAAGGAAGAAGAAAGAAGAACAGCAAAAAAATCCAAGCCCAAGATAATTTGAAACAACATCTTTCTTAATTACAGATAGAAGAGCAATGTCAAGTTATCCATAAATTATTAATCTGTTTTATTTTCAGAAGTGCAATAGTACAACAATGAATGCCCAATGTAAAAAAAAAGAAAAAAACAGCTTACAAAACTCTGACAATAATAGACTATAGAGGACATCCATTCAGTTTAACTTAAAAAATCTTCTGCTAACTATATGAAGAGACTAAAGTACCAGCTTCCCACACTTAACATTTAAAAGCATTAATCAGATGCCACAGTTATTAAAGTTAGATAAACCCCACATGAAAAAGCCTTGCATTTTTCATGACACCTTTCCAATACTGTCTTCTAATGAAAAAAAAAAGTTACAACAAATAAGAGTTGTGGCATGTCTGGATTACAAATATGTTTTCCTTCTTACCATTTATTTCCACATTAAAGAAGGCTGAAACTCTTTCTTTCCCTGAAGAGCAGTACATGAATGCATTTCTCTTCTCACAGACCCTTCTGTTCCATCTCTGGCAATTACTCATCCTTTCTCTTTTTCCACCTACCACCTCACCCAAGTTTGCACCTAAATTTGCAAAGAGTATGAAAAAAAACCCCAAACCCCAAAACCCCAAATCAAAACAAACCAGATGTCTAAGATGATAATTTCTTGGCGTTACTTTTATTTTTTCCTGGGCCTCAAATGCCACCCTTGAAAACTGCAAGACTACATAACATAACTGGAGGGTAACACTGCCTTTTTGATTCAGAAACACGAAACTTGTGTGTCATTCTAAGAAATTAACAAAATCCCAAAGTTGAATAGAAACTACCAATTTAAAAAATTCTTACCTGGAAGACTTGACTTGTTTGATACTAGCCCTTCAACCCGTTCCTCTTTCTCATCACAGGGATCCTCTTCATCAGACAATACTAAGAAAGCCTCTTTTGGCAGACTTTCATTGCTTTCCTGCTTGGATGGTGAACCCAAACAGTTGTCTATTTTCTCTTCTAAATCTGGGGCTGTGTCATCCACTGGAAGCAGAGAACTTTTAGAAAAACAGCTCAGATCATCTTCAACAGGGGCTAGTTTTTCCAAAATTGGAATAATTTCATCTGTTTCCATAGAGTCAGTATTGTCCAAGATACTTTGACTTGGCTCATCTAATGTCTTCGGAACAGCGGTTTCTGAAAGACCTGCACTGCCCTCTTGTTTTTCCTGGTCAGCTTCCATACTGCTAGAGATGGCTGCTTCTCCAACAGCCTCTTCAACAGTAACTACTTCAGTCCTCTTTTCCCCACTAGGTGAACTGGAATTAACAGTTATATTATTTGTTTCTCCCTTTTCTTCAGAAGAGTCAGTAATATCATCGACTGATTTACTTTCAGCTTCCAATGGGACGTCACTCTTTCTTTGGTCCAAATGATCTTTTGTATTATTTTGTTCATGGAAATTGTCTTTATTGCTACCAAGCACTCCATTTTCTGCCTCACAAGCTACTGCAGTAACAGTATCTTTATCTTGCTCAGGAGTAGTATTTTCTGGAGACAGCGTTAGAGGTTTGGATTCTATGTCACTGACTATGTTTCCTGTCCTACTTTCAGGGCTTTTGGCCTCACTAATTTCATCAGAAGCTGTTCTTTCTTCTTCAGAGTTAACACACAAGTCAACTATGCCATTAACTTCCTTCTTGTCCTCCATACAGTCTGAATTGCTTAAAGGGGAATTTAAATCAGAATCTCCATTCTCATGTTTTCCATTTAACAGTTTCACTTCAGTTGTCTTCAACAGCTCCTCTTTAACCTTATAGACAGCTTCAAGTTGTTGTCGATCACTTACTCTCATTGTTTTTCGTGCTTTAAAGACTTTTTTCTGAGGTTCATCTGTGCTATCCATCTTGACCCTTAAAAAAAGGTTCAGAAAGAATTGTGAAGGTAAAAATTTATCATCATTATCTTAGTACTACTCCTGTAGCACTTAGCACATTTTAAAGTAACCAGTTTAACTGTATCAACAAAAACAAAGAAACAACTGTCAACACAATTAAAACACTACCTGACCTCAAAAAAAGGGAATACAAGTTTCTATACATGTTGCACAAATACCTGAATGCAAAGATCACAGAAATCACACATTAGGCAGCAGTAGTCTGACTACACATTTTAGACTAGATGTCTCAGATACTGTACTAAGGCAAGAGTCAGAAGCCTTTCTTCTCATAAAAAAGTAAAAATAAATATAAACTGATGGACCAGGAATATTTTTATCTTTCTAAAAATATGTAATTTCATGAGTTTCAAATAGAATTAACAACTGGGGTAAATGACAGGATTTTTATATCAAGTTACTTTAAAAAACCCTTCATTATATAGAAAGAATTTCTGAACGTTTCATTAAGATACTTTCTTTTGTATAGATAAAACACACTTTCATCTTCCCTATCTATACAATGGTTAACTGAACTTGGGTTTTTAAAGCACTTTCATTCAATTTGCAATAATATTTTACTAAGACTATTTTTGGCCATAAAAACTACAGGTGTTGCAGCACCTTACAGAAAAATTTCCTCTTTCAAGGAAAATGGGTGGTTTTGCCCTCTATACTTATATTCACTCCATTCACCCACACAAATATTAAGAAAAACTAGAACATTTATTAAAGAAATTAAGAAAAATGATAGAAAATCTACTTTATCAAATCAATAAATGGAGATAAAATCAGCATTACCTAAGAATTTATAATGATTTTGTTGAAATACAAGAAAATCTTATTTGTTTCCATTAAACAAAGCAAATCCACAGGGAATTTTAAAATAGTTTTCCCCCACGCGGTCTTGCTTTAGGGCTGTCCTAGTTCGGACAGCTGAGATCAGTTCATCATGGTATGGGTGTAACCCAAAACTGTGTATTCTATAGCCTTCCGTGCCATTTCCCAGAAACTGTTGTCAATAGACTATTCGCACCCTCTGCCCATAGAGCCTGACTCCTCAGGCTATAAACTAGGTGTTAAGAGGCCTGTGAGATAGGAGGATGCTCTTGTCCTCACACCCTTTGTGGAACTCCCCGCCCTGAGGGAAGTACTGAACACTCCTGCCTGAACTGGAGGATATACAATCTTGGAGTTTTGGAACATTTTTAACCCATTCGTGGGATCCAGAGGAAGACTGCAGCTCATCGCTCTCAACCAGACTTAGACCACCACCCTATACTGGACTGCAATCACCACTTTGACCAGACTGCAACAACTCTCCCACCAGCAGGTTCTTCCCCTCTCCCTTTACTTTGGACTCAAGCGGGGCCCAAGGAACACCACTTTGTTCATGCCCCAGGGTACTGGGTTATACATTTGGGTTTTGTGAGTTAAGACCAATTGTCTGTTTGTATGATTGTACTTACTGTATTATTTTAATAAATTGTTATTCTGACTTATAATCTCTCCTTTGAGTTGAGTTCATTTCCCCTGCTGGTTAACTCTTAAATCAGCACAAGGGCCTAGTTTTAAAGGATCATATTGGCAATATTCAGAAGCAGAAAGCAGTTAAAGAAGTCGTTACACACTAAATGTAACTCAAGAACTAAGATCGTGATTCAGCTGATGTTAACCAATTTAGCTCTACAAACCATCATGTCACTCCTGTCTAGGATACAGCTTGTATTAAGTTTCTCAAAAACATGCAAAAATTAACTTGGGTAACAGTAGTTAAAAGACAGAGCAAGTAGAAAAAAAAAAACCAGGCAGTTATCTCTATATGATTTTTTTCGCCCACAAGCACCAGATAGGCAATGTTTATAACACTGATACACAGCAGAATTATTAGACAAATGATGCATTTTAAGTATTTAGGATGATTCATTTTGCATCATCCCTCAATTCACTTTCATTCACAGAGCTGAGAAATTAATTAATAAACTGCATTTTGTCTTTTCAGGTGCAATATAAATGATTTTTAAAATTTTATTGAAAAAAGAAAGCAGGACTATCGAGAACATTAGCTCAAATCGATGGCTTTGTGTAATCACAAGTTCAAGAGCGTTTGGACAACCCCCTCAGGCACATGGAGTGATTCTTGGGGTTGTCCCATGCAGGGTCAGGAGCTGGACTCAATCCTTGTGGTCCCTTCCAACTCAGGCTATTCTACAATTTTATGAACCAAGTCACAAAATTCAGAAAACAGATTCCACAGCCTCTAAGTAACAATTTGGCTCCACCCCATTTTGCAACCAACTTTTCCTCCAAGTTTTATTTAGGCAGTCCTAAGAGTGCCCTTTAGCCTTCTCTTGAGCGATTAAAGATGTCAAGCTCTCTCAGCATCTCATTGTAGGTCACACGCTTAAGCTCCTACCATTTTGGTCTGCTGGATTTTTCCTAGTAAACTAGGAAAAAAAACTTGGAACAGATTGCTTATGAAGAAAATTACTTAACATTTATCCTCAACTGCAATATTCTACATTGTAAGATAAGAAAATATATTCTAAGGTACAATATGAATTCAACTACCAAGACAAACTCTAAATCCCACAATCATGACGTGCCATACTTTACAATCATAAGGCTTCTTTTACGCTTAGTTAACATGACCTGACGAAACCAGGGGCAAAGCAGAAAGCAACTTTTTGCACTTCCTATTAACGCAACACTGAGCTTCCCTTCCACTTTATTACAGTTCTTTTCTCCAAGACAGTCTAGAATTTTTGTATTTGAGTTACTGATAGTACTTAATACTTGGACACTCACATTCAGGAACAGATCACAGAATCACAGAATATGCTGAGGTGGAAGGGACCTACAGGGATCATCGAGTCCAACTCTTAGCCCTGCACAGGACCATCCCCAAGACTCACACCATGTGCCTGAAAGCATTGTCCAAATGCTTCTTGAACTCTGCCAGGCTTGGTGCTGGGACCGCTTCCCTGTTCCAATGCCCAACCACTCTCTGGGTGAAGAACCTTTTTCTAATCTCCAACCTAAATCTCTCGACAAAATGTTGTATCAGCTCTACTTATAGACTCTCAATAATACCATTAAGATATACATTTTTGCCAGTCTTAATTAGATTTTCTGAACCAGACTGTCTATTAGTGCATGGCCACTACTGGGAGCAAAACATAACATCTATAGAAACACTGATCTGAAACATCACTTTACTTGGAAAATGTTCTCATCACATAGCCATTTTCAATCAGATGAAATATGAAATCCAGGTAAGCTGTTAATGCCTTTCCAGAGCTGCCTGCATGCTAAATACAGTTTCTTCATGTTTCTTCAGAAGAGAACATATTTAACACAGGAATTCTAGACCCGAAGTTACAAAACGCATGTAAAAACCTCTAGTATTTCTGAAGTGCGCGTGCAGTTTTTGAAAGCACATCCCTTCCGTCTTCCCAAAAACTCAGCATGTAAGGCACATTTTTTCACATCGTTATAAAAGCATATGTCATACCGTCATGTAATAGAATACCGACAATCATACTCATGTTCCATGCATATAATCCCCTACAACCAACATGTATGCTGTTACGGATTTTTATCTTGTAGAGCCAATTTGGAAAAAAAAATAGAAAATGCCAGGTTTGGCTAGCCTTGAATAATTCCAAGGCTCCTAATAGGTGACTCATGAGTGAGAGTCTACTGTTAGTATAGTACGAGAATATAGGGCCTTTGCATCAAAATTACAACAGACAAATAGTTTAATGTCCCAGACTACAATGCTTCCTTTTACAGGCATTACAAGAATTTACAAAACATATCACAGTATTCATATTCTTACTTTTCCTATCACCAAAAGATATACTAACAGATTAATATAACATTTACAAACAACTTAAAATCAGATTTATAAGTGCATCACTTTGTAATCAAAAAATATAAAATATAACTTAAAAGAATGTAATATTTTCTGTTCTAATTTCCTGAACTACCTAAGCAGTTTTTCACTCATATTTTTAACATAAGAGTAAATACAGAGAAAATGAAAGACACTTCATCTTAAATTTACCAAGAATAGCAGTCTTAAAAAATCAAACATCAGAATACCTTTATATTGATGCATCCTTATTTTTTCTTTAAAAATACTGAAAAAACCAGCTTAAATTTCTAATATGTTTAAAAATTATGTTTATTTTTTATCTTAGGACATTATTCAAAATCTAGTTAAAAATAAAGCTCTTATACAGTTGTAGAAAGAACCTGCAAGAAAAACAGGCTTCTCAAAATTCCATTGTTAGATGGTTATTTGAGTAACTCATGCATATTTTCAGCTCCATCCCACAATCTTTTGCAACTAAAGAGTATTCAATAAAAGCTACTAAAAAATATTCAATAAAAGCTACCCTCAGTGACAAAATTACAAGCACAGATGAGATGAACTAGCGTTTAGTGCTCATCTTTTAACAGCGAAATATCACACAGCACAGCAGAGCAGCCTTGAAGTGTTTCCAGCCATACCCACAAGGGAGCACAGTGCAGCCAAGGAACAGATCTCATGTGAGAGCTGAGTAAAAGAAATAAATCAATCGTTAACCAGTCCAGATAGGTTTGGTCACACCTGTGCAAGCCAATCAGGTGCCATCTGATAAACACTGCCTTCCAGCCTCTCAAAGGGGCAAGGAGGCAGCCCTTCAGAGAGCAATGCCAAGGCAAAGCTACCTTGCAGAAATAAAACATTTTAAATGACTAGTATTCTAAATGAATGTATTTTGGTAGTCTCCCTTAATACTTAACATTAACAAACTTAAGCTACTTTTGCTCATCTGATGCTTGGGTGTTTTCTCTTTTTTTACTCATCATGTGACCAAGTCACAAGGAGGAAATGAGTGGCCCAGGCACCAAGCCAATGGAGGGGCATGTTTTATTTCAATTAAAGGCATTTGTACAGAACAGCACAAACTGACTCCTGCATGTAGAGCTACATGTGTAAGGGTTAAAAGCTGTAAATAAGGTGGTAGGTTTTGGGCTGATTTTTTTGTTATGATTTTTTAAACTCAAGACTCAATTTTGGAGTATCAACATGCATATATTTTCTATATTTTTTTTTGTTTAGATATGAAAATTCCCTTTTTCATTTTAGGCTTGAAAGTCATATATACTTCAGCATGTGAGACACAAACACAGCATTAGGCACCTCCTTCCAATACTTGAAAATTTCCTTCTCATGATGAAATGTGTGCTGCATGGCACAAAATGCTACATGGCTACCAGTGCAGCTAGGAATATGGGGAGGTCTCTTCTCTAAGCCAATTAAAAAGTTTTCTCTCTATTTCCTTATTTTTTAAATTATTATTATTCTGTAGAGAGATCGCAGCTCTAAAGTAACAAAGGAAGGTATTAGATGCTCTGGATCAGCCTATGATCATGTGCTCAGGTAAGCAGCCCATGAGCTGCTCCAAACGTTAAGCCAATCAGCAAGGAGCTGCCTGAATCCCGCCTAGTAACAGGCAGCAGACAAAAGGAAGGTCATGGAAACACGGCGGGTGGGAGAAGCTGCAATCTAAACAATAGTGCACAATGGGGTTTGCATAATATCATGGGTCTAGAACAGCACAGGTACAGGGTTCCTGGGGGGCTTGCAGAGCTGGCCAAAAGCACGGCAACTATAAAACGTTTCCCAAAGCACAAGAACTACATAGATGAAGGAAAGTTCACTGATCGTGAACATCAGTGCTCAAATGCGCAAATCTACTTAAAATCTACTTAAAATACAGCATAACCAAATCAAGGAAAGTGAGGCAGCAAATGGTCATGAGTATTTTGTTCTAGGTGGAGAGCCTCAGAGAATGAAAGTGGTGAATAGAACCTACCTTTTAAGTTATGGTTCATAAAAAGCAGTTTTCAGTTGAATTCCTCCACACCGTTGATATAAGTTTTCAGAAATTTAAAAATTATTTTCAAAGAAAAAAAATACTGTTTGTGACCTATTCTTACAGAACATGTGCTGAAATAACATGCCAATAATTTGTTTTTCTACCACTAATACAAGTCAACTGATCTAACTGAACGGAAGACAAACCACCAGCCTAATGATCTCCATTTACAACTATGCCTTTGCTTTTAAACGTAATAAAGAAAGCAGAGGCCATGATTATTATATGTGCAGATAATATTTCTTCCAGCACACTACAGGTGATTTGAGTTTTCCTCCCTTTCAAAAGGGCTACAGTTAGTGTTGGCTGAAAGTGAAAGAAGGATGTACAGTTATCTAAGAAAAAAATTACGTCGCCATCCTGTCCTATTTCACCTAGCTGCACGGGCAGCAAGACCAGGTGAACGGCAATTAAGCAGCCCTCTAGCTAAACTGTCCCCCCCTCCAGAGGTGCGGGGCGCGGGCGGCGCGTTCCCCTGCGGCGCAGCCCTGCAGTGCCGCCGCCGCTCCCCAGGGGGCGCCGCCACACCCCGTCGGCCGCGGCACCGCGGGGGGACGGCCGCCAGCCCCGCCTCCCATTGGCTGAACGGAGCCGCCGCGCCGCAGCCAATCAGGCGGGAGCTCCTGAAGTTCTACCTAGCAACAAGCCCCCACGCGGCGGGCCTCGCGCGCGGGCACGGCCGCGGGGGCGCGCGTTGAGAGAACGGGATTTTCCAAACGGCCTGATGGAAAGTTAAGGGCTTTCCGTGAGACCTGGAGCTGCGCAGCAGCGCTGACCCAGGAGTGTGAGGCACACAAGTGCACAGACGTAATAAAGAAGAGGTGTTTAATGCGCAAGAGCATTTTTAGGCGGTTTTAAGATCACTAAATTCTGTGATGTTGACTGTTGAGTCAAAAAAACTGCCGAGATCCAACCTGGGTTTAAGTACGGCAGCTGGAAAGCTTTCTTTTCTTCAGATGCCATGCAGCACCTGTGCTTTTCTAGTATCCCAGCAGAAAATCGGTGTTTTGAGACGAGTGCAGTATGACCTTCTGCCTTGAAAGCAGAGGCCGTTCTCCCCCACCCTTGCAAACTGCCTTCTGAAGTTCAGCAAAACACTTAAGTACACGTGTGTATCTACGCCTAAGAAAAACACCCAAATCTATGGGTTAAAGGCTTCTGAAACCGGAGTAAACTCGTGGTACAGTTTCAAACAGGTTAGTCTTGTGTACTGTATGTGATGGACAACTTCATGTACAAACTTGAACTACATTCTTGTCACTGTGGCGTTACTGTGAATTAAGCAGTTGTCTTGTGTCTGCTCTACCTCAAGAGAATACTACTGCCTTTGACACTGGCTTGTGAACCTGTTTCTCAAACCAAATTTTTTACTGTAGAGCTTTTTTCCCCATGAGGCTGCAGTGCCTTGTGGGAAAACTAGATTCCTCTTGGGGGAAAAAAATGACTGTCAGGTCCATTTACACAACTAAGATATTTCATCTGCTGATGGTTTTGCAGAATTGTCCTTATGTGTTCATCAGGTTATGCCTTGATAACTACTACGTGTAAAACACATAGTTTGGAACATGGAAGAATGGAAGCCGTGGAGAGTCTTTCCTAGACAACTTTTACAAGCAACTCAAGTGCCTCAGAAACACCTATTCTTTAGCATGTGGACCTTAAGCTGATTCTTCAAGGAGAGTTTTGTCTTTTTCCGTAAATTAAATGTTAATAGCTATTTAGATTATTAAACTAGTAAAACTGCTTGACTGGAACTCAGCAACAGGGCTGTGATAACGTGTTCTCTTACTTCCCACAAGTGTTAGAGACTTCAACTTTTTATCAACAAGTCAAAACATTAGCTTTCAATTCAACTGTGAGATCTCTAAACACTAAACAAGTACTGCTGTTTGAAATAGCAGTAACAGCAAAATTCAGCTTTCTTATAGACTGATTTTTTTTCAGCACAAGCTTAAACACTAAGTATGTTTCTTTCCATAGAAAAAAAAGGATTTACTGAATATCTATGAAGTTAATTAGTGCATTTAAGATACATTTGTGGAGTACTATTATACACAGTTTCAATGTTATACTGCAGTTCCAGCTTTGGCATAGGATTAACAGTCACTGTTATCCTTAAATAGGAGTAGGACCTAAAAATTCCATAGAAGTGGACACTAATTGCCAGAACACATCTACAATAAAAAACGTACCCAACTTTTGATATTCCAAACATAAGACCTGAACAACTTGAATTGTTCATGCACATGCAGACCAAAAAATACAAGAAACTCTGTGAAACAAAAATCTCGAAAAAGCAAGGCAAGATGTTCTGTTCATGCTTAGGCTTTTCCAGGCATTATAAAATACAGTATTTTTTCCTTTTATAAGGAAATAATTTATAATTTATAAATTCCAAATTTATAATTTCAAGTGAAAATTCAACAGGCTACAGCTTTGAGAAGGTATCACTAACGTGTACAGATCTGCATCCTTTTGAGGCAGATTTCTTTACAAGTCTTCTGTTAGATAAAATGCAGGATTATTGTAATAAAAAAATTGATATATTTACCGCAATAGTCCATATTTTCTAGACTAGTTCCTGTATCACTTATACAACTAGCTGTAGCAGTGTAACCTTGGTTTTCCAACACTGGCAGCTTGGTGACATTGCAATTCAGAGGTGAGCTGCCTGATGCTGCAGTGGTCCCCTGAGGTCACTTCTCAAATGCCAGGAGAAAGAGAAGTGAGAACTCACAACAAAAAAAGGCGATGCTGTATTAAAACGTTACTGTTCGGCACGCATACAAGCGCCTTTTATGAATTTTTTTTTTTTGCACATTACATTTTCTCAGTAACAATATAGAAAGTTTAAAATGGAACAAAACCAGCAGTTGGGAGTTGGCTGTGGGAAGGGTTATCAGTATTTCGCCCGGGGAAGGCACCTTTCCTCAGGAGGGGCTCTGCACCTGCTGCCTCACCTGTACCAGACCTGCCCCACCCAAGCGCAGCACCTGGGGCTGGAGGGGGCACATCATTTCATAAACTCATCCAACTGAAGCCTGATGGGGACTCTCAGATTCTGGGGAGCAGGGAAGCTATTTGCCCATTTCCCACATGAAAGGATGAGTTTTCTTTCAGTGGGTGCCTGAGAGAGGCCAGGACACCGCCCCGGCAGCCATCTTATTCCCACACCAGCTCCCTGCCCGATGGCGGGGACTGCCGGAGATTTGCATACCCGCTCGGGATTGGCTGTGGGAGAGCTGTTTTCCATAAACCAAATCTGCCCGGCAACAGGCTAAAAATAGCCGGGGCTGCTGCCGGGAGCGGGAGCAGCTCGGCCCACACGAGGGGCCAAGACACGCACAGCCTTCCTGTCGTGGCGGTATGGGCGGGCACGGCACACTGCACTTCCGCAGGGATTTTTTTTTTTTAATGTTTTCGTGGGTTTTTTTTAAATGCCAAAAATAATTTCTGAAGTAGTTCTCTCTTCAAATCAAAACATGAACTATTATAATTTGCACATTGTCTTCTTTCTCACTTTCATTTCTAAGCAAGCAGGAACAGAAGCCATCTTTCTTACTCTGTTTAATAACCCATGTCAGTTTGGTGAGATGGCAGTGGGGTAATCCACAACATCTGCAACAGATATCACCTAATCCTCACTACATATAGACTGTTACAGAGGCTGCTTCTTGGCTCCCGAGTTACCCTTTGGTACCTCACACCTCACCAGACACCCCCCCATCCAATTCCTCTACTGAAACTAAACACGTGGGATTTCGAAAGGCGAGCATGATGAACCAAGAAAAAAAATTCCGTAAGTACATAAGGCATCTTGAGACTAAAAATTAAATGTAAAATGAGGTAAGTAAAGCACAAAATTTCAAAGTTATTATGTAAATACATGTTCTGTGATAACTCCAGCAATGATTTACATGTAGAGTATTGTAACATTTAAGCCTACAAAACAGGTATCATTTACAGAAGTTTGATTTTCAGTAGTACTGAACTGACAGCATAAACTCTTCTGACTGCAGCAGAAGCAAGTAAAGAGATTTCCACACTTTTCACCACATCCACTCCCAGGTTTCTGTTTCACGGAACTGTGTTAAAGGCAGGTGAAAGCCAACACTGTAAGATGAATGGAGCACCCAGTGCACACAGGACATGTACAGCCACCTAATACAGGTCTCCAGCATCCTGGAAAGTGCCATCTTAAGTGTAAGCTGTATATAAGCACCTTTGGTATGAAGAAATGCATTTTCTACAAGGCTGTCAAAATTGACTAAGAAGAGAAGGAAGAAAAGTGGCCAAAGAAGATGGTCAGTGACCACTGATGAGCCTTGATATCTTTTGAACGACTCAAGAAAAAAAAAAATCACAAAAATTAACCAGAAATCCTAACGGGAAAGTTAAAGTGAAGTAAAACAAATATTTGTATATAATAAAGCTTCAAAATAAAATTAGAAAAAAAGCCCTAAACCACCACCAAACAAACCAAAACCCACAAAAGAGTTTCTTCTAAAAGCTAGTTTACCCAAACTTTATTACCTGTACCTAGTGTTAGGACTATTTGTCACACATATTCTTTATGAAAAGGTAGCTTATTCCATAGATGTTGGCTTGCTACCTAACAAATTTTACTAGCAACTCTGCTATGTACCACAAGACATTTATTCATTAATCAGAGCCTAAATATCTTCCAAAAGCAACTAATGGTGTGGAATAATGGGAACTGAAAAAAACCCTGCCAACCTAATATTCTATTCATTACTACATAGAAAAAAAGAAAAAAAAAATCAAAAAGCATGTTTTCAGTGCGGGTAAATCACTGCATTAATATGCTAAGGACCCTAGACAATGAAGGTAATCCATGTTTTTACAATGATAAACAGTCACTCTCTAATAAAATTCCACGGCAGTCAATTTCTTACTATATCAAGCATTCAATAATAGAGTAAGATTTATTTACCCTAGTAGAAGGGTACAGTGACAGATCAAATTCTCTTGAGTCAATGGGTGGACAATTATTTTTCTGTATTTGCTGCTAGGCAAAGATTTGTCACATCTCAAACTTGTAAGAAAAATTACTCATAGTGTCACCCAAATTGCAACTGAAACGTTTCATAGTCAAACACTAAGCAACCATAGCAGAGATGACTCTTCAACTTATTCATGATTAGAACAAGCTCTGCAGACACAGATATCCAGACTTAATTCTTTGCTAAGCTGCCTAAGGAACAGGAAGCAGAAAGTGGACAAACCCAAGATGATTTCTTTATAGAGTTCTAATCATGGAAATAAGTGAATAGAACTAGTAGGAATAAATTTTGAAATTATGTTACACTAGTTTAAGTGGCAAAGTTTTACTGATCTGCATCAGCAACACCTTAAGCAGCA